CGGGTGTGGGAGGAGTTCGGAGAGACCATGGAAAAAGACTTTCGGACTGCCTCGAAGAGATTCTGGCAAACCGTCAGACGTCTCAGGAGGGGAAAGCGATGCTCTACCTGCACTGTGTATAGTGCTGGCGGAGCGCTGCTGACGTCGACTGAGAAAATTGTCAGGCGGTGGAAGGAATACTTCGAGGACCTCCTTAATCCCACTGACACGTCTTCCGAGGAGGAAGCAGAGTCTGGGGATGAGGGGAATGACCTGCCAATTTCCGGGGGCGAGGTCACTGAGGCAGTTAAACAACTCCTTGGTGGCAGAGCCCCTGGTGTTGATGAGGTCCGCCCCGAGTTCCTGAAGGCTCTGGACGTTGTAGGGCTGTCCTGGTTGACACGCCTCTGCAATGTTGCGTGGAGATCAGGGGCAGTACCTGTGGACTGGCAGACCGGGGTGGTGGTCCCCATCTTTAAGAAGGGGGACCGGAGGGTGTGTTCCAACTACAGGGGGATCACACTCCTCAGCCTCCCTGGGAAAGTCTATGCCTATGGCGTTATTGTTGTGCCACTATTCTGAGCGCACGTAAAAAAAAATTGAGCGCACGTAAAAAAAAATTGCAGGTGCAAGTGTTGCATTTTGAGGAGAAATTTATTTTGAGCTTACAAAAGCTGAATTTGAGTGAACAAAATTCATTGCTGCGTGCAAAAAACGTATTTCAGTGTTTGCGCTTATCCATATACACACACAATAGCACCCCCTCTCGCTCAGTTTTTTCATTTGCGCTTGCTCGCAATGTGTTGCTTGCGCTCACAACATTCTCTGCTTCGTACGCTCAACTCTCTGTACACCGTTATAAGTGTGCCACAAAACCAACCAATCACAGACTTGGTTTCAAAAATTCTGATTGGCTCTTACAGTCTCCAATCAGCTCGCTAGCTACTGCTTTCCGGACACCGGAAACACTGTCCACTCAGCCTCGCTTCTTGCAGATAGAGGGATTTTTGATTTACTCTGCAGCTAAAGAAGAGATGGCAGAATCAAACAATGGCTCCAATAATACTACACCACAGTATCAGGTGAGTTTAATTTCTTTTGTGTGAATTTAGTAATTTGCTGTCCTTTCTGTTTAATATGCTGTGAAATTGTAGTTACAGATGCAGCTGTAGAGTTTAAGCTAGCCTTATGGGTAATTACCAGCGTAGTTGTCTTACTGAGGCAGTGTATCCTAATCATGTTTTTTAGGGTAATGGTGCAGTTGAGTCAGCAGTAAGAAATCTGGTGTCTTTGCTGCTTAACAACATATCCACAAATCCTTCAGGGAGGCCAACAGAGAGTGGGCAGCCGGAGCCTAGAAATCTGACTATCCAGCAAGAGATGACAAGGTTTTTGCTTTTTTTGTGTGTTTTTTTTATTTTAACTTTTTGCAATCTTTTCTGTTAAAGTTATTTGGTTTGTGGATTTATCAACATTGATTTTTAAATTAAAATGTGCTATTAAGGACTGATGTCATATTTAATAACTTTATTAAACAATAACCCTTATGTTATGCAACACTGCATTTTTTAAACTCATGCATTTTCATCCCACAGATCATTTCCAGGATATTTCAAATCACACTTGAGCCGTGGTAAAAAGAGATGTTTAACATCTACTAAGCAGCTTGTTAAGGCAGGCAGTAAGACCACAGGCCTCAGTTTTTATTTGCTGTCAAAAAACACATCCTACACACCTTTGCCAGCTGAGGAGCTTGAACTCCTACAAGCTGGCATGGGGAGACAAACAGTGTCTCTTCCAGAAGATGGTGACCATGCAGAGGTAAGTTTGTGTAGTCAGTATTAAAATCAGTCATTGGCAGACGCATTTAGCCTGAATCATATGCCACAGTCCATTTAGTGTTCCATTCTGCTTAACGGTGTTTTTAACTAAGATTTCTAGACTTCTGGAAGAAACCTTTCCAAAAATGGAATATCTTTGTGGAGGATGGCTCTTACATAAGGCAACAGGTTTGTTGTTAATTCAGTTTTTACGTATTTTTTTGGCATTCTTGCGTGCTCATACTGCATTATGATTATGTAGTTGATACTTTTGCTGCTTGATTGTTTATGCTATTTTTCTGTCAATAAAGGTGGCAGTGGTCGACGAAAGCTCACTGTAATTCCACCTGAAACAGAAGGATATTCTGTTAAAACACTGAAAGCTGTGTCAGGAGGTGGCAAATCCACTTTTTACATAGTACCTCTTCAGGAAACATTAGACACATCTCCTCTACCTCCCGACTCACAGCACTTTTCAAAGATGCCAAAGAAGATATGTTACCAGTGTAATGAAGTTATGCCTCTGCAGATGCTTGCAGTACACATCAATACGTGCAAAGGAAAATTCTCTCCTGATGAGACTGATGATGAGGTGAGACAATTTTGATGAAATCAAAATGAGCAATTTTGATTAAATAATATAGTATCACAATTACTGTTTTTTGATTCAGCAGGAATCGGAGTTATGCATTGTGAAAAGCAAATGCAAGGTAAACCTAGCACATTACTAAAAACCATAGTAACTACAATGAATTTTGTATCGGTAATGATCTTTTTCCCACTATGCCTAACATGTACCCATTTTTGGAATTGTAGGTTATTTGTCCAATATGCACTAAGGATTTTCCTGAAGATGAGATCACAGTCCATGCGAGTCTGTGTGGGGATAGGTAATCTTTTTTCAGCCGTTTATGAAAAAATGTTAATCAGTAACAGTCCACACAAACATATGTATTTTTATTTTATTTTTTTTAAACTTTGTTTTGTCATCAGCTTTCAATGCATGGTGCCTGAAGAAAATGACCAAACTACAGGGACACCAGCTCAAACTTCAGTATGCACAACAGACAGGTACTTTTTGCTCTATTATAATTCATATACACACTATTATGCAGAACCATTTGTTAAAATTATGTGTAAGATCTTTTACACAATACCTGGGGTTTAATTTCATATAAAACATTTTATGATCACACTACTTTAAATTATTGTTAAAGGTTGTTGCACAGAACATGCTGCAATAATTTCTAATCACGTTTAATGTGGTAGCCTCTTTTAATCTAAAGATGATTATTTTTCTTTGAGAGCTTAGGATGTTTTCTACCCTGTTTTTGTTAAGCGTGGAAGATGTATTGCGTTGCCTTGAACAACAAGTCGACACCACAACAGAATTTAAGTTGTGTGTGGACAGAGAAGACCTTCCAGACAGAGGCATTCTCCAGTGGCAGAGAAAAAAAGCTGCATCTCCCACCAGTGTTCTTAGGGTGGTTTTCATTGGAGAGGCAGGCATGGATACAGGAGCACTTAGGAAAGAGTTTTTGAGTGGTGAGTTGCCTATTACCTGTTTTGTCCTAGTGTCAATAAATAATGGATAACTTAAAAATGCGGATATTTTTTGTATGAAAGACATGATTTCAGGTATTGAAAGCAGATTCTTTGAAGGACTTGAGAACAAGGGCAAAAACCCCAAGTATTCTCTGACCGATCTTGATAATGAAAACTTCAGGTTGGTTACATACGAGCTTTGTGTATTACATTTAATACGCATCCGAAATTTTTTTAAATGTTACCTGAAAATGAATTATAATCATTTGTCTACACAGAACTGTTGGTGAAATAATTGCAGTCAGCCTCGCCCAAGGAGGCCCATCTCCTGCCTTTTTCAAAGAATGGTGCTACAATTTCCTCTGCTCAGGAGAGGTTGATTTCAGCTGTCTGTCTAAGGAGGATGTTGCAGATGTGGAATCTTCCCTGCTCATCCGCAAAGTGAGCACCTGGTTTAGCTCTGGCACATGATATATTATGAGTATGGTGTTTTTAAACACTTTTAACCTTCTGTATTTCCTCTTTCACATTATACATTTCCAGGTTGAAGATGCAGCAGACATACAGTCTCTGATGATGTGGGCTGATGAAATTGTCAGCTGTGGATACACAAACCAGATAAAGATGGATAGTAAGGAAAGCATGATCCGGTAAGGGAGAAAAAATCAGAGAGATCATTAACCCACCCCCCCCATCCCCAACTAGTTTTTCCATTTTTTTTAAGTGCTATTGTCTTACACTCTACAACAAGACTGATTCCAATGCTACAGCAGCTCCGAAAGGGCATGGAACTGTATGGTCTTGTGAACCTGATGGCTGTAAATCCTGAAGCTTGCCACAGTTTGTTTGTTCCTGGGAAAATCCTCAAAGTAAGTATTAACATAGCAGCTTCAGTCTGATCCAAAGACAGTCCACTTATCTGTACTGTAGTTATCCTGTATTTATTTATTAGTTTTGAATGAACAATATATCTATAATATAATCTACTTTATTTCCTTATTTACAGCCAGACGCTGATTTCATTATGATGAGCTGCCAACCACATTTCAGTGAAAAAGGGACATCTAGGGAGAGAACTGAGAGGAAGATCATAAATTTTTTGCAAGATTTCTTGCAGGAGATTGAAGTATCAGGTACTATATAGTATTAGCTGTATATACCTATAGTATTGTATATATACTGTATGCATCTGTTAAATATTTTTGCTTTAACATGCAGGGCACTAGAAAGTATTCTTAGTTGTTAATTTAAAACATTGTAATCCAGATTGCTTTTTATTTAGAAAAGACTTCAGAAACATTTTCAAACATCACAGATGGAAACACAGGCGGTGCAGGTGGTGAAAAATCAGAGTCTCTTGCTGTCCACCATGTGCTCCAGTGGATGACCGGCCAGTCCCATGTTCCCATCCTTCCTGATGAAAAGAGACATTTCAAAATAACATGCAAGTTTGACCATGAATGTAAGGAGCGGCTGGGAGATCACTCCATTTGTTACCCAGTTGTGAGTGCATGCACTTGTACTGTGACTTTTCCAGTGCAGCATCTGGACACTTACACAGTGTTTAAAACCATAATGAGTGCAGCAGTTAAATATGGTGGTGGATTCCACAGAGTTTAACACATTGTTGTCTTCTAATTTGGAAACTAAATGAGTAAAAATGTTTGTAAACATTAGCTGTTAAGATGTTCGTAGCCGTTTCATGAAAATGACAAGACTTCAAAACTTTGTGTAGGGTCCTACGTTGATAGATAATAAGCAAGTGCTTTGTTTGCTTGTCTACTTGTAATCTGAATGTTTTAGCAAAGAAATCCAGTATTTGAGAACTTAAAAGAACGTTGACTTTCACGTCCATGTTAAGTGTCACTGTTGGTTTGACACCTGTAGCAAGAATTGTATGTACAGGTCACGACCGTGTGACTCAGAATGTTCCAAGGGATTAATAGTTCTCTGAAGCCCCTCCAGGGTTTCCTCATCCAGTGGGCATTCAACTTCAGGAACCACAACTGTGCTGTTAGATTCTTCTTGCAGTACAGCACTCTCCCAGTCAATGCCTGGATCCCGAAGCTCCTTCAAATCCACAAACATATATAATGGTCATTATTCCAGAATAGGTACTTTTGGGAGGAATGTTATTTTGTGTAAGCGTTTTTTCCATTAAAATACAACAATTTAAAAAGAATGCCTTTGTTTTCATGTTCTTCTTACTGTAATTTAGATTAGTGGTAATTGATAAGCAAGAATGTATAAAATCACCAGAAGCATCTCCCAGATGTGCTGCAAGTGTTTTAATTTGTTAATTTCAGAAGAGCAGAGTTAACTGCTAACTAAAATTTTGAAATTCAACATTTAAATAAAAAAAAAAAAAAAAAAAAAATCAGATTATGAGCTGGTACCTCAAGTCTCTCGCCCTCGTCCAGCTCTTGTAGATGTCCCATACACCAGAGCTGTTCAGGAGTGAGACCACCTTCTGTCCTGAGGGGATGATTATTCCATCCTCCAACAAAGGTGACAAGATCTGCTCGGAGTCGAGGGACAAAGATGTAGTGGACACCAAAAAGATGAATGACATCTGAAATGTCAAGCAGGCCATCCTCCTCGAGTGAGTGAAGAATATCATGGTACTTGCTAGTGACTGCAATCCAGACATCACGCCAAAGTCGTTCTACTCTGTAAATACATTTGAATTTGGATTTCAGGTATTTCATGCTTCAAATCAATATCAGAACTGCTACAACAATCTACCCATGCAGTCAATAATAATATAAAAAACATCAAAAGACTAACCTCTGATTGTGGACACTCTTTCCAGATATGAAACTCGCTCTCCCTGTTCCTCTTGTGGCAAACATGAAATGTGCAATGTCCAGGTTTTCTACTCCTTGATCTGCCCTAACCCTATGATAAAAATACATTTTTAAGGAATTTTTAAAGTTTTCTTTAATGATACTTGTTGCTAGCATATAAATTAAATCAGGGCATAAAACCTTGATGGCAAGCCGTGAAGCTGGGCTGATCTCAGGAAAAATGAGAATGCAGTTTTTGCCCTGTTGTTAGTTGCTGCATCCAAGTACAGGACCTGCAGTAAAAACAAATGGAAAATTAAAGATCTGGTTTCAGATCATGTATAGTTTTTCAGTTAATAATGCAGTTTCATAATAAGTGTTCAAGGAATATTGTACGGTTCTATGTTCATAACCATAATTCAAAGCTTGAGTAGTCTATACATCAATATTGGTAGTACTTATCAAAAAATGAAAATGGCCTTTTAGTTTAACCTTTTTTGGTAAAGAACTGATTAGAAATTTAAAAAAATAATAATTGCAAATCGTCCACTATGTTGGCTTGCTGAATAATTGATGTTCATAAAAAAACAACCTAATAAAGCTCTCATTTCAAAACTACCAAATATTCTACATAACAGTTACACTTTTACCTTCCTTGAGTAGCCATCCACTCCACCAAAGATCACAACATTGTACCTGTTTCAGAGGGAAAACAATCTCACTAAGGCTTGATTTGCAGAACATGTAAGACATTGAAAATACATTTTTCAGTATGCACACTTGCCACTGACTTAAACTGGACACTTGTCAGGTGTGCTGAAAATAATACCAACATTTTTATATGTTTATAAGTTCAATGAGACTAAATATTTTAGTTCTCTTGTCATGATTTTTTTTTAAGTTTTCTGGAGCACTTAACATATTATGTGTTGATAGGCTTGTTATCATGGAAAATATCGATATACAAAGTGTAAATAATTGCTCAAGAAAATTTACAATTAACAATATTGCTGGTTTTGTTACACATCCTGTATTCCTTTTACTTAATATTACTCTATCAAGTGCTTTTTAAAATATTATAAATACACTGAAAGACCTATCAGATAAGGTTGATTAAAGCAGATTTAAAGTATAACGTGCATCTTTCTGCCCAACTTGTGTTAGAGCTATATAAGTGGGTATTTTACCTTATTAGCTTGTGATTTGTGTCTATGTGGACCAGGGAGAGAGGGCCTCGCACCGAGTAGCTTCTTCGCACAACACAGCCTAGTTCTGTGATCCGTTTGAAGATCCCTACAGCATCAACTCGATGCATGGAGGCCATCATTCTCCACCACTGAACACGGAGACCCATAGAAACCAAATGTCCTTGAACCATTCGATAGCCAGCATTTGGCATCTGATTTTTGATAGCCGATATGATGTTGTCCAGCTCTTGGTCATTCATTGTGCTGTATGTTCCTCTCACAGACAAGTCAAATTCTTGCATCCTCCGGTAGATTGTTCTTCTTGAAACACCAAGACATTTAGCAATGCAGCTGACTGGCAGCTGAATGTCCAACAAATTCTTGAGTCTTTCTCTCTCTAGTACGATTTTGGGGTGGCCAGGTCCCAGACCAACTTCTGTTTCCAGTTCAATAATGGCCACAGAGCTGATGTTAATTTCACACTGAACCAGATGATGAATGTTTTGTAGAGCCTCTGTAATCTCTGACAGACCGCCTATTTGCTGAGAGAAAGATTCAAACAGAACAAGCTCATGACGAGTCAAGAACTCCAAATAATCCAGATTTAGTGGTTGTTGGTTTAAAGCAGCTTTCAGTTTAGAGAGGAGTCTATGCATCATTTGCTGTCTCAGTATGTCCTGTTAAAAGCAGCAAGGAACATGGACAAGTACAATGAAATGATGTATCTCAGACAAAAATAAACAACCCATAAAACAAACTACATGAGGTACATCATTTTTCAAGTTTGCATAGTTTGCAAATTAGCTAACGTCAGTTATCAAGCGAATAATAATTAACAAAATGATTTTATATTACTTACATGTGGCCGGGACATGCTCTTTTCGTGCTGCTATTCAGTATTCGACGACATAAAAGAGAGCTACTCAAGTATAATTTGGAAAAATTAGTCAGTTGGCATGGTTGTATGATGCAACTACATTCTACTACACCAACAATAGTCTTAAAAAATAATATATTTTAAAATAAAATGATTAAAGATATTATCCGCAAATTGGGGTTTAAGAGATTTTAGCTGGATTTAGCTACATTTCGGACAGTGTTTCCGGAAAGCAGTAGCTAGCCAGCTGATTGGAGACCGTAAGAGCCAATCAGAATTTTTGAAACCAAGTCTGTGATTGGTTGGTTTTGTGGCACACTTATAACGGTGTACAGAGAGTTGAGCGTAAGCAGAGAATGTTGTGAGCGCAAGCAACACATTGCGAGCAAGCGCAAATGAAAAAACTGAGCGAGAGGGGGTGCTATTGTGTGTGTATATGGATAAGCGCAAACACTGAAATACGTTTTTTTGCACGCAGCAATGAATTTTGTTCACTCAAATTCAGCTTTTGTAAGCTCAAAATAAATTTCTCCTCAAAATGCAACACTTGCACCTGCAATTTTTTTTTACGTGCGCTCAATTTTTTTTTACGTCCGCTCAGAATAGTGGCACAAAAATAACGCCATATATGCCAGGGTGCTGGAAAGGAGAGTTCGTCCGTTAGTCGAACCTCGGATACAGGAGGAACAATGCGGTTTTCGTCCTGGTCGCGGGAGTGGGTGCATGGGAGTTTTGTTTTGTGGACTTGGAGAAGGCATTCGACCGTGTCCCTCGGGGTGTCCTGTGGGAGGTGTTGCGGGAATATGGGGTGTCTGGCCCATTGCTACGGGCCATTCGATCCCTATACAACCGTTGCAAGAGCTTGGTTCGCATTGCCGGCAATAAGTCGGACTCGTTCCCGGTGGGTGATGGGCTCCGCCAGGGCTGCCCTTTGTCTCCGGTTCTGTTCATAATTTTTATGGACGGAATTTCTAGGCGCAGCCAAGTGGCGGAGGGCTTTTGCTTTGGTGGCCTCAGAATCTCATCTCTGATTTTTGCAGATGATGTGGTTCTGTTGGCTTGATCGGGTGAGGGCCTCCAGCTCGCACTGGAACGGTTCGCAGCCGAGTGTGAAGCAGCGGGAATGAGGATCAGCACCTCCAAATCTGAGGCCATGGTTCTCAGCCGGAAAAGAGTGGAGTGCCCACTCTGGGTCGGGGATGAGTTCCTGCCCCAAGTGGAGGAGTTCAAGTATCTCGGGGTCTTGTTCGCGAGTGATGGGAGAAGGGAGCTGGAGATCGACAGATGGATTGGGGCTGCAGCTGCAGTAATGCGGACGCTGCACCTGTCCATCGTGGTGAAGAGGGAGCTGAGTGTAAAAGCGAAGCTCTCAATTTACCGGTCGATCTACGTCCCTACCCTCACCTATGGCCACGAGCTGTGGGTAGTGACCGAAAGAACGAGATCGCGGATACAAGCGGCAGAAATGAGCTTCCTCCGAAGGGTGGCTGGCCTCTCCCTTAGAGATAGGGTGAGAAGTTCGGCCATCCGGGAGGGGCTCAGAGTAGAGCAGCTGCTGCTCCACATCGAAAGGAGCCAGCTGAGGTGGTTCGGGCATCTGACAAGGATGACCCTGGGCGCCTCCTGGGTGAGGTGTTCCAGGCATGTCCCACCGGGAGGAGGCCCCGGGGCAGACCCAGGACACGCTGGAGAGATTATATCTCTCGGCTGGCCTGGGAACGCCTTGGTATTCCCCCGGATAAGCTGGAGGAGGTTGCTGGTGAGAGGGAGGTCTGGGCCTCTGCTTAGGCTGCTTCCCCCGCGACCCAGCCCCGGATAAAGCGGATGAAGATGGATGGATGGATGGATGGGTTGCTTTTCATTCCAATGGAGTGGGTTCACGTACAATTTTGTCCAAGAACACAGCCAGGAATAAAAAATGGTATCCTCAGCAGCCAATAGCCAATATGAGGATCAATTCTCAAGTGGCTGGTGGATCAACGATAACCCACGAATTCTGACAAAGTCAAGCATTCATTACTGCCATCAGTCAGGATTTGGGCTAGAAATTGATTAACTGCATGACAGGATGAACTGAAGAGGTCTTGAAAAACAACAGCCAACATTGTCAATTTTGACTCTACATAAACTTAATGTAATTGTCAATATTAGCCTTTGAAGCCTTTGAATGTGTTAGTCAGGTAAAAAACAAGTGCACTTTGTTTTTCACAGGACTTTGTGCAGACCTGTAAAAAACTAAGTACGCTCTAACTAAAAACTTTTTTTGTCACAAGGGTGTATCTTGGTTTATTTAAGAAATACAGAAATGCAAACACATAAGTAGGTGGAAATTTTAAATATGAGAATATGTGATGCATGTATCAAATCTACTTTTGCAATTGGCCCTAAAAGGCCAACCAGCATTTGAGTGCGCTGGATCCAGCAGTAATGTGTATCCAGTCTCTGATCTGTATTTAAAAAGTGTACCATGTATGCCAGTCAAAATAAAGAGGGATCTATCAAATGATATAATTTCAAAAATTAATTGTGTGAAAATACATAACTACACAACTAATGTCTAAATTGTCAGTCCCCTTAACAAAATGTTTGCACAGACTCTTCAATAAAATTAGAGTCACTCTCGAGGCTATAATACATGCAATCACTTACTGAGCCTGACTAGCAGAGGCTAATTTGAGGGTAAGTTCTCATTTGAACCACCCCCATGAGACATAATTGTCGTTGGTGACTTAAAAATTTTAGTTTAGTTTAGTTCATTTCCACACACACACACACAAAAAAAACTATGCAAATTGCATACAATACAAAAGCCAATAATTACAGTGCAGGAGCAGAAAGAAGCCTGAAGGGATTATTTAGAGATCTCCCCTATGTAAAGATGAAGGGAAAAATTAAAGCAAGAATTATTTACGCATTATTGGTTTGTTAAAACTTAAACCAGCTCAAAAGTATTTAACACAAACACTTTTTAAAAAGATAAATAAACAAACCTGGACTATTTTTGCAGTATTTTATGGTATTTGACAATGTAATGACTTTTTTTTAATAATGAAAGAATTGATTTCATATTTTTATGGAATATGGAAGCTGTTCTTGTCCTTTGTTCAACCTCTTGTAGATGTATCTGGGAAGCTAAAGCACTAGTTAAAGTTTGCAACATCTTTAAAATACCATTAATTTACAAAGCTTTGAACAAAACTTTGACAAAATCATTTGTTTACATTTAACCATACTACGTATAGTGCTATGAAAAAATATTTTTCCACTTCCTGATCTTTAATTTTTGAGTAATTGTCACACTTACATGTTTTTGTTCATCAAACAAATTTTAATTATTAGAAAATGATAATTTGAGTAATAAAACTGCAGTTTTTAAATTATTTAAATTATTTCATTTCTTAAGGGAAAAGTGATGTTCAAATCAACCTGGAAATATCTGAAGCAAAGCTTTCAATTTATTCATTAGTCTACACTCCTGCTCAATGGCCTATGAATCCAACCTATGGATCCTGAAAAAAGAATGAGACTGTGGAAATAAGCTTCATCCATAGGATACCTGGGCTCTCCTTTAGAGATGGGGTGATCTATATCATTTGGGAAGAGCTTGGAGCACAGCAGCTATTCATCCAGATCAAAGAATCGCTGTCTCCTTAGTGCCTTCTAGCTGAGGTGTTTTGGGCATGTTCTACAGGGCGGAAGCCCATGGAGGTTGAGGCAAGATGAGCTAGAGAGAAGAATCTTTAAAACAGCATGACTAGGTTATACAGATTTTATCAGATTTGTTTTTGTAATAGGTGGATTTTGTGTTACAGGACTTAAAACACACAAATCTTAGATGTCACACACCCCTGAACACTGTGTGGCTAATGCCTTGACTGACGTTAATTACTATACGCCAAGTTGTGTAAAAAGGTGCAGCTGTACCTACAAAAAATGTCCCAATGTATAGGTTTCCCTTTTTTTACTCCCAGTTGGTGTTTTAGTGTGAATTCTGCATCACATAAATGTAGCATAAGAGGCCAGGCAAGAGACAAGTCAGCTAATGTAGTTTCTGTCTGATCTAGTGCAGCTTCCTCACTAAGGAACGAGGGAGCGATAACACTGTCATGGCAGATTTTGTATTTTAAATCATCTCGGCAGCAGTGTGTACTCCAGTATGAAGTCAGTGAGCGAAAACCTCGAGGTGATTTTTAACAGTGTCTTGACTTTTGAAGAGCAAGTGAAGAGGCAGAAGTGGAGCTCTGCTTTCTGCAGTTGAGGAGCAAATCAAAATCAAGTTTTTGTTTTCTCCCCTTCTATCAGGCTTCTTTTTTTCTCATCTGCTATTTCAGCTTTAGTCAGCCACTTTAACATGTCTAACTCCTTCAGTACCAGCAGCCTATTTACACTGAA